CGATTGGTTCTTTTAGATTCTCTACTAGGTGCTGATTGGTCTAATAATTGGATAATTTGATTGGTTAGTGTTCACTCATGCCGAGTACTTTGGAACAAGTTATTCTGACATATTCAAAATGGCCGACACCCTACCTTTCTTATTGGCGTTTCTCAGCTCAGTACAGTGTTTCTAAACTCAAGGACTTCATTTCTCCTGCATCAAGCCGCGTTGGAATGTGTATTAACTTGTTCAGAACCTATGTCTTATGTAACGATATCAGCATAGGCGTGTTATTTTGCGCTTGACATCGACTTGATCGAACGAAGAAAATGGCGGGAAAGATGAAAAGCAGTTTTACTAGATCTCGCGAATGGGTCTCATCTAGTACATTCAAACTTGAAAGTGAATTTGCTTTGGTGGCAAGTTCTTACCTTGCAGGGACTTTCCCTTACATCAAACAGTATTCTTTTTGAAACTCTTCTCCTCATTGACTGAGGAGATGTCACATGACCATGTATACTAACAAATGATCATGTTTTGACACACCTCCCTGATACTACTATGAAATCAATGTAAACACGGTACGACACATGATCGCACGCGTGGAAAAGTTACGAGGCTCGTTTGTGGATAAACTGCACAATGCAGCAACAAGAAAGTCTTTATGGTAGGTGGGGAAATAATAATTGGGTTGTCGCGACTGTAAAATGCGTAAAAGGGTATCGATTTGTTCGTACTTGTGTGTGTTAACTGTTTCATTTTAGTGCCTTACATTCGTATATTTTATTACGTAGCTCGATTTCACCTCGAGCTCCACTTTCTAATTAAAGAGGTAATTAAGGGTTGTAACAGACTATTTTATTCAAGGAGTCTTGTAAATAAATTTATTGTGTTTCCATGAGTGAACGAGGTTACTATCGAGGCATTTTTCACGTAACTTTGATACCAGAACCGATCGTATTTGAAAGGCTTCGTTACGGTTAAGCACCCTCGATTTGTTGGACAACGACGATTTGTGTCATAATTCTCCAACTGTAAACATAATGGAGAAGATTGAAGATCACATCTATTGGCTAGAATGCATTCCATTCCGAAGATACGCTAAGATTTTCAAAAGTACAACACACATTTTTATACGCGTCGTGCAAAGTGTAAATCGCCTTATGCACCTGAGGAGACGAAGAGATTTAGTGAGCGAAATGTAGTCTCTTATAAAAGTTGTTTAACTAATATAATGCTAAACACTCGTCTAAGGGACCCTAAGAGAAAAGACTAGCTTGCCAACAGTTTTTTGACGTAGTTATTCCGACCTGTGTAACTATGTAGGTTTAATAACTGCTTTCAAAATGTTATAAATTTGACTCAAATTTGAAAACAAAAAGTTTATGCAGAGTATTTTGATATCATTGCTCTTTTTTATTCCAGGGTCATGGCCAATTGTTTCCTGTCCTAGAGATTATGAATTTCTGCCAGGGAAATGCAAGTTGATGATTCTCAAGGGCTGTCGGCATCATATTGCAGGCCTCAGATGCCGTTTAGCTGAAGAGTCGCTTTGTTCACTGCCAACCCACTCTTCACTGTCTTTTCCTGGTCAGTTTGTCCTCAGCCAGTTTGTGGTTGCACTAGGTAGTGACAAGCAAGAGTTGTTTGAGTGCTACATGGAGGCCACCAGAAATGGGAATTTCAAAATCGTAAGTAATGCCAGCATGGTACTGGTAGTTAAGGCGTCAAGCCTTGTACATTTGAGGGATAGTAGGAGCATCAACAATGTAAGAGATCACTAGATATAGCATGCAGATATTAACAAACCAGCTTGCACCAATATCATCCTATGTATTGCAGGAAGTCTTTTACAATCACATGTTTAGGACTAGATACAGTGTGAAGTTTTTAAAACCTGTGAACATGTCACTTTTCACAGGACCAAAACCTTTGAAAAAAACACAGAGGAAAAAATAGGATATTTTTTACAAGCTCCAAATGTTGTGCTTTTGGAAAGAATTTATGTCACTGCAAAATTCAAATTTTGTTCCATTTGATGTTTATGTATCACAGGATTGTTCACAGGTTTTTTTACAAATTTTTTTATTGAATAGTGCTTAATTAGAATTTTCATGAAGAAAGAGAGGTCATCTCCCATAACTGTTATGCAGTCATCCTGACTAAAGAAATATGGCTAAAATGAAATGTTATCATCTACCCACCTATGTGTATATGTAGTCGCTTCATGCTACAGAAACCGGGATAAGCTGCGGCCTGATGCAGCCCAGCAGGGAAAAACCCAGTCCTATTGCCAGGGGCAAGTAAATTTTGGTCTTGGGCAAATGAAAATGAAAGTATGGTGGTCCTGTGGACAAGTGAAATTAGCCTCAGTAATCTTGTTGGTAAAAAAATTCCAAATCGGAAACAATTTCAAAAGACTGCAAGATGAGCAAAACAATGAGTTGAAAGCAAAGATTAATTTAGTTGATAAGGCATGGACTTTGTGCACCTATTGGGCAAGTAATATTTTAATGGGGGCAACTGAAAACTGAAATGTACTGGCCCACTGGGCAACTGGATTTCAATCAGTTTTCTTCCTGCTCTGTGATGGGCTACTTGGCTTGTGTGCAAACTTTACCTACATTTACATGTACATGCAGTTCATTGGCTGGTTCCTCATATGAAACAAGTGTTACAATGTATGTGTACATGAAATGGTCCATCAGACTCTTTTTACATTGTATGATCTCAAAATGACTACCATCAATGAACACTCAATGCTATTTCTCTTGAGAACCTTTTCTATAATATTGCTTGCAGAATGGTGGAGGTTATGTCATTGACGCAGAAGTGAAGCCACCTGGTTGCATGCATTTAGCAGAAACCACTGCTGTGGACTGTGCTGGGAATACTCTACCCTCCTATGCTGGAAAATTCACTTTTCTCCTTCCAGCTAACACCTCCAGGATCTTCCATGTCAATATCAAGATGAAATCAGTAGCTGGAAATGCACTGCTTGATGAAGTTCAAACCTGTGTCCTCACGCACTATGAACCAAATTACTTGTTTGATTATTGGGATGGTCACTCTCTGCCAGCAGTGGACTTACCATTTGCTAAAAAACAGCTTGTGGGTGAGTATTCAGTTGTATAGCAGGGATGACATACATGTCTACGTTTGAAAAACAAAAATAGCAAAACTTGAATTACATGTAATTCTATCATGATGCACAAATTTAAGTATTTATTTAATCTCTAGTAATTCCTCTTCATTACAGTGTAGATGTAGGTCTTCAGTTTTGTAGCCACTGTAATTAACAAGCACGATTTTGAGGTTGTAATGTCTGCAGCCAAAATTGTCTGAGTGTGTCTGCTGAAAAAGAAACTCAGTCTGTCATTCGTACATTATCATTACTGTATTGTTTTGTTAGTTTATCTCTGATGTTGAAATAATTGAAGTATCACATGCTGATTCATAAGACTGAGATTGACTACAAATATTATTAATGACACTGTAGTATTGTACTTTGCATAATCTGGAATTGCTTATGAATTCACTGGCTGCTCTTGGTTTATTTCAGGTATCCTTGGAACTCCTGAAGGTCAAAAGACTATTCGGTATTTTCAGGATCTAGTGGAAAATGGTAAGTTGTGCAAATGAAGTACACCTTACAATCATGTAGTAAATTGTACATCATTTGGTTTTTAATTCAAAACTGTTGACTGCATGGCCCTGTGCATTTGCACAGCATCACCCAGTGAGTCAGTGAGTCTCATTAGATGTAAATATTGATTTTACTGACAACATGAATTGTTTATTGTGTCAGGTGCTTACCAATGTTTCAAACGAGACCAGCTCCGTCTTATTCAACATTCTTGTATCCCTGGCACCTCAGAAGCATTATACAAGGATTTGCTTCTTGAAGTTCAGCTAGAGGTATGGCATTTAATGATTTATACAGCACCAGTGGCAATTTGTTATTTTGAAATCAAAATGTTTTTTGTTGTAATATTGTGTAATTTCTTGTACATGTACAAACAATGACTGGTAATTAATACATGCACTTTACCTAGAAATAGAATCAAGGTTTTTACCTAGTCTGCTTCCTACACTGTATTTTTTAAATATGGTACAATTTGGATATTCATTGTTAATGCGCAAGATGCTGTCAGCTAGCAAAATTAATTTATTACTAATGAGTTAGGTTTTAAATATAGTTATATTTAGGGAACATTCAAGTAATATAAACACCCCTGAAGATGATATAGCTGAAATATAGTAAAACAAGTGTGTTAATGCCCCAAATTGTTTTTCTATGGAATTTGAGCCTGTGAGTTACACTACATACAAAACAGGTATAGACACATAGAGAGGGTCTGTCATATTCCAGCAGTTTGGCAGGTTAAGCCAATTTTGAGTGCTGGTTTGCAGGTACATTCACATTTTAATTTCTTCTAGGGGTTTACAGTTAAGCAATTATTGGGAAACCAGAAATTTAGCTTGCAGTTTGCAGTTTTTGCATGTTTTTGAGGCGGTGATTCGAACAAAGAAGACTGAGCAGTAACTTTATCTTGCTTGAATCTTCTCCCTCAACAAAAGGCTTTAGGGCTGGAAACAATTTGTTCTGTGCTCAAGAACTTTTGGTGTTGTGAGGAGCGATACGATTATTGAGCTAGCGTATCGTAAAGAATTGGTTACGTGCTGTTGTGTACTGCCAAAATAATATGGCAACAATTATTGTAATGCTTTTGTTTGTTTATATGTTTGTCACAGGAAAGTCTGTTGCTGTATCAAATGGGAGAACTTGAACAATGCAAGCAAGTAGGTGAGGATGTCTGTACCAAGGCAAATGACGCCAACTCGCCCAATTACAACGCCATTGCTGGGAAAGCAAAGAGTATTATCTCTGGTGCTTACAAAATGGAGAAGGACTTCATTAAGGCTGAAGAATCCTTGAATTCTTCCACTGAGGTGGGCTTGTTTTTGTCTCTGGTACAATACTGCAGTGTACATACATTTGTTACTTTGTCATTATATTCCATGTTCATTCTTATATTGTAGTAAGACGTTCTCCCTAATTCATGTTCATCCCCTGAATTCATCCATTCTCAGCTTGTGATACATGTAGGAATTGCCCCTCCCTTCCCGCCCCTGCAAGCCTTACACATAAAATCTGAAAAGCAATGAGCAACAATTATTTAAAACTCTTTAATTAAAGAAGCTCTTTTCAATGATAGAATCAACAACCAAAACTCAGTTTCAAATGTAAGTGTTATTTTTTTCCATGTCGGAGGCAAGTAGGCACATAAATGTACATACATGTAGCAGTTTGAGAATATTCCCATTGACCAGTGGCACTTTGTTGTTTAGTTATGCCCTTATTTGAGGGTGACACTTCTAAATATTTTGCTCTCATGTGCATTGGTTATTTGAGGAAATTTATTTGACACGTTCAGTACTTCTATTCTAAAACTATTTTTATGATTCTAATTATGTAACTTAAAAATTCCAATTAACATGTAGGGTCTTAAGCATGGAAATGCTACAGCCATAGAATGTACATGTAGCATGGTACATTATTTATTAAATGGTGAATATTTGTGTCAGCTCTTAGAGGCAGTTGTCCCTGGTGAAGAGACTTCAGTCAACCGCACTTGTCTTACTGCTCTGTATTCAGAGAAGGCTAGAGTGGAGGGAATCACTAAACAGGAAAAAAAGATCCTAAAGAAAGCCCTGAAGGATGCCATGCTGCACTTCAGGCACCAACTTGACAAGAATCTAAACAGAAATGCTAGGAGTCCACG